ACCGAATTCTTCGTAGGGGGGAAGGTCCATCTTTTTTATACGCCCAATCTTTCTCTCTCCTTTCTTGTATGAATTCCAGCTTTGTCCATTCTTTCCCGCGTATTTCTCTAAGGAAGTTGGATTTCCAGGAAGATATTTCAATATATTATGCCCTTTTTCCGCGTGAATAATGTTATCTTGTGCCCAATCCTTCCTTCTTCATTTATCTGATCATACCGTGGAAGAGAAATCTCCAGGGCCACAAACTTTTGGCCATAGCGCGGGCTTTTGGCCAATTTTATTTAGCTTCCGTGGGCTTAGTTCAATTAAATTGATTAAGCTCAGAACTACTCATTCAAGATCATTCACCGCCGGTCCAATGCAATGAAAGAATTAAGCAATATGATGAATGCTCCTCAAACTATATGCAATATTATTTTAATATTTTTTTAGGGGTAAAAATATAATCCCTAATTTTCTGTACAATTTAACACTAAATGGTCGGTCGAAATTTAGGTGTGAACAACTGCCCTTTTTTGAAGGTGAGCTCGCAAAGGTTACATTCAAAGACTAAGTGAGACCTAAATTTTGATTGTGCAAATGCAATGAATGTTATTTTGAATGGGAGTGCTAGTCTCATTTTGAAATGCAGTATGTTACGATGCATGCCGTCATAAAATGGAAAGCACACCTGGAATTACTCACCTAACTGAAGTGGTAGAGTAGTTCGAGGCATGACTCTGATTCTTGAGGTTGTTTGGCAAATGTTTGGGCTTTGTCCCAAAGGTATTGCCTGATGAACGCTGATGGACTTCGGTGACCTACAATTTAGTCAAGACACACGAAGAAAGCTCGGGGTGCCAAAGAGAAGGATTTAACAAAATGGAGTTCGTTCTGACTTTAACGAAATACCCAATTATCATCTGAGGTATTCGTTAAAGTTTAGCCGCCGCACCTAGATATCGTCGTAGATGTTTAACGGGGGAGTTTGTCTAATTCGTACGAATGTTCCGACCTTTTCGAAGTACCCAGTTATCATCATAGGTAATCGTAAAGATTTAGCCGCTGCACCTAGTTATCATCATAGATGCGACACGGAGGAACCTTCAACAGGTTAGGAGAATGTTCCGACCTTTACAAGATACCTATACATCATCATAGATACTCGTAAAGATTTAACCGCTGCACCTAGTTATTGTCGTAGGTGCTACATGGGGGAACTCTTGATAGGTTGGAAGAATATTCCGACCCTTACGAAATACCTATACGTCATCATAGGTACTCATAAAGATTTGGCCACTACATCTAGTTATTGTCATAGGTGCAACACGGGGGAACCTTCCCGAGATTGGGAGAATATTCCGACCTTTACAAAATACATATACATCATCATAGGTACTCGTAAAGATTTGGCCGCTGCATCTAATTATCGTCACAGGTATGACACGGGAGAACCTTCTCGAGATTGGGAGAATATTCCGACATTTACGAAATACCTATACATTATCATAGGTACTCGTAAAAATTTGGCTGCTGCACCTAGTTATCGTCGTAGATGCGACACAGGGGAACCTTCCCGAGATTAGGAGAATATTCTGACCTTTACGAGATACCTATACAACATCATAGGTACTCGTAAAGATTTGGCCGCTGCACCTAGTTATCGTCGTAGGTGCGACATGGGGGAACATCTTCCGAGATTGTGTGAAAAGTGTGCCTAACAAAATATCTAGTTATTTTCTATGATACTTGAAAGGACTTGATCGATAAATACCTAGATATCATCGTGGGTACTTAACGATTGGGTGGACCAAGGGCTAGCCCGAATGCTCAGGGGTTCCTTAACAAAGTACTTGGATATCATCAGAGCTACCTGAAAAGGCTTGATCAATAGATGCTTGGATATCGTCAGAGGCGTCTAAAGACTACAACAAAATGATCGAATATGGGGGCCTGGCGATTGCTCGAACAGGTTGGGGATATTCGGATAATCGCGGACATCTAGAAGGGGTAGAGATGTACTTACCTGATGATATCTTCTACTCTTGATGGCGCATCTCCTGCTAGACGTAGTTATAGGCAACGTGCAACATGCATTCATGGGCAATCAAGAACACACATATTCATGCACCATAAATTTAACTGGTTTTCATGCATGACGATTTTGTCAAATCAGCATTGCAAAAATTTCACTGGGGAGAACTATGGCAAGACAATCCGAACTCACAAGCGAGTGTCTTGAAAACGTCAAATGAGGGACTTCCGGTCCGAGAGGGCTTTCGCTCACTCTCATTGAAAAAGGCTGATTTATGAGAATCGCTCTATCTCACCATCATTATGTCGACAAGGGTTCGAATATTCTCACAAACGGTACGACCTTACCAATTCGAGAGGTTTTTGTTAGGACCGTAACGCGGGCTTGGTCAATGGCTTAGCAAAAGGGGACTCTTCAAGTCGAGGCTATTGAAAGAAAATACTCGGCAATCGCCTCCGAGTTTAGAAGTCAAGAACCCTGCAAAATGAGATAGAAATGAACTTACTTGCACTTTTCGAGCTAAGATTATAATCGTTTGAAACCCCACGCAAGTTCAAGTGCCCTAATCTGAATAGACTTTGCAAGGGATGTAATACAGGCAAGGTTCAGGGGTTGAGAAACCAAAGGATTGTTTGACTCAAAAAGGAGTATAAATGGGTGAAGATTGGTGATCATCTTAGCATTGTCATCAGTCTTCTTCTTTGCCGTCAAGGTCTGTCTTTGTAGATGTACCATCAACTCCGATCCCTTGTATACTACTCCACTGGGGATAATTCTGACACACCAAATTTTCTATTGGGCGTCGGCCTTACTTTTACTAGACAAATTGCTTTTTCATGCCTCCTATTTCATTTTTCATTTTTTTTGACTCTTTTTCCTTCCCTTTTTTTTGACTTTCACATTTATGGGCATTGGCCTTGCTTTTACCAGGCACACTGCTTTTTCATGTCCCCTAGTTTCAATTTTTTTTTACACACACTATCTACAATGCATACATTGGCCAACTACACTTTGGCTTGTTTTGACTGAATGACTCGACATTTGGACTCTCAGGGGTCTCTGTCTTCTATAGATGCTTTGGATATGCAGCTTGGATGGTGATGGCTTTTACCTTGCCCCAGTGTGGAGGATGATCACCAGCTGGGTTTAAGAAATGAATTTATAGGTTCAATTGGGCTTAGCAAAGGATAAAGCGTTTATAAGATAGAGAAAGAAATGCTCTTCGTCATCCTTAGGCACTTGAGCTCTGTACAAGTTCATCTAAAAAAACAACACTCGAAGATTGATGCAAGTGAGAACAAGACAATCACTACTCATTTTTCGCCTTATAATGCCAACTTACCTCCAGTTTGCTCCAATGTGGGGTAGTTCTTGACATGGGTAATTCGAAAGAACTTTTCCAAGTGTTTAGGCTCAAAGTGGCGGAACAATGGACAGCTTGTAGTGTTTAAGGTAGAGAAATGAAATACCTCTTGTCATTTTGCTTGCCGTACCTTTCATGAGATAACCCTTTAACTTCTCGACATGGAATTTTTCTACTCAACTAACTGAGGATTAATGTATGAAACTGTGTATGGGGTGTGTTTTGCCTTTCTTCATCCCGATGTACCTCATTCAACACATTCAATTTACTCCACATGAGTTATTGGATTGTCCAAGTAGATTCCCCTTTCGAAATCAATGATGTAGACTGACAAAATAACCATGCAGAATTTAAGGCCAATGCACACATCTCAACTTGAAATTGATGGAAACAATTTATTTATCAATGAAATGTTTGCAACTCAGAATATAAAACTAGACACTTGAAAACTTTTGCTACAAAATGTTAGATTCTATCAAGGATAATACATATTCACAGCATCAGAATTAACAGGAGTGGAAAACTCACGACCGTCCATTTCTGCGAGAATTAGGGTACCTCCCGGAAGCACCTTTTTAATCACAAATGGATCGATGTAAGTTGGGGCAAATTTGCCCCCGGGAACAGGAAAGACCGGCAGTACTTTTCTCAGGACTAAATCATTTACCTCGAAGTGTCTTGGATGTACCTTTCGGTTGAAAGACCTAGCTATCCTCTGCTGATAGGTTTAACCATGGAAAATGGCTTTCAATCGCTTCTCATTATTCAGGTTCAACTGCTCGTGCCATTGTCACATCCATTCTGCCTCGGATGACTCTACTTGGGACAAGACTCGTAGGGAAGGGATCTTTACTTCAACGGAAGGACTGCTTCTATGCCATACACTAAAGAAAAAGGGGTTGCCCCAATAAAGGTTCAGATCGAAGTCCGATACACCATTAGTGCAAAGGGCAACCTTTCATGTCAGTCACAATAGTTTTCAGCCATTTTGGCCAAGATCTTCTTGATATTCTTGTTAGCGGCTTCAACCGCTCTATTCATTTGTGGATGATAGGGAGACGAATTCAGGTGCTGGATCTTGAACTCGTTGAACAACTAATCTATGAACTTGTTCAGATTTGTCCCATTATCAGTGACAATACCTTTGAGGATGGCATAACGAGTGACTATGTCTCGCCCGATGAATCTTACAACGTTCCTTGGAGTGACGTTCGCATAAGATGCCGCTTCAATCCACTTGGAGAAATAATCAATCACGACCAAGTTAAGCCGATGTCCATTTGATGCTTTGGAATTAATTGGGCCAATCATGTTGATGCCCCACATTGAAAAGGGCCATGGCTCGGACAACTAGTATAGTTCAGTCGGGGGGACATTTATCTTATCTCTATGAACTTGATAGTGATGACATCTCCAGACATGTTGGATGCAGTCACTTTCAAGGCTAAGCCAATAGTAGCCTAGCCTCGTGATCTTCTTGGCTAGCATGTGGCCATTCATGTGTGGACTACATACTCTCTCGTGTACTTCTTGCAAGATTCTTACAGTTTCATCCGCGTCCACACACCTCAGCAGGACTGAATCATAAGATCTTTTGTATAGGTTCTCACCGCTAAGGAAGAGTTATGAAGCCATTTTCATTATGTACTTCCTGTCAGTTGGGATGGTTCCTTCGGGAAATTCTTGTCTTTGGATGTACCTTATGATGTCGTAGTACCATTGCTTTCCGTCAGGTTCTTCAGTCACGACCATACAGTAGGCCAGTTTCATCAGGACTTCAATCTTCAGAGGTTCTACTTCTACTCCACCAGTCACTTGCAACAGGAACGAAAACGTAGCTAGTGCATCAACGAACTGATTGTGAGACCTCGACAAGTACTCAAAGGAGATGCCCTCGAATTCCTCCATGATTTCTTTGAGGCATTCGTGGTACGGCACTAGTTTGGTGTCCCTCATCTTCCACTCCCCTACAGTTTGGAGAATGATTAGGGCGGAATCGCCGAATACTTTCAACTTGGTTATTCCCATTTCAACCGCGGCTTGGAGTCCGAGGGTGCAAGTTTCGTACTCGGCTATGTTGTTGGTATAGGGGAATATCAACTTCGCTGCTACTAGATAATATTATCCATCTGGGGATATTAGAACTACCATAGTGCTGGAACTAGCCAAGTTTATGGCTCCATCAAAAAACATGGTCCATGTATCTTCCTTTATTACCAAAATGCAATCTTCCGGAGAATATTTATCATCATATAGGACTCCAGGATTTCGGCTAACACATCAGCAATTACTTGGCTTTTAACTGACTTCTGTGGCATCGTCTAGATGTTAAACTCTGAAATTAAAATCTGCCATTTGGCCAACTTTCCTACCAAAGCCGGTTGATCAAGTAAATACTTGATGGGATCATTCTTAGTCATAAGAGACGTCTGGTAATGCAGTGTATACTTTCGCAGCCTATGGAGCACCCACATTAGTGCAGCACAAGTCTTCTTAGCTTCAAGATAATTAAACTCCGAGATGGTGAACTCCTTACTCAGGCAATAAATGGCTCACACTTTTCTATCCTCAGGCCCTTTTTGGGCTAGCATTGCACCTAGAGACTCGCTATGAATTGTAAGGTAAAGGATTAAAGGCTACCCCGGCATTGATGGGACTAGCACTGGTTGTTTCATCAAGTACCACTTCAGCTCGTTAAACGCCTCCTGACAATCATCATCCTACTCCACTCGAGCATTCTTCTTTATAAGTTTGAAGAATGGCTTAGCAGTTTTAGAGAGTTGAGAAATAAAGCGGCCCATATAGTTCAATCTACCCAGGAGGCTTCACACTTCTTTCATGGTTGATGGGGGTTGCAACTCACATATAGCCTTCACTTTGGAGGGGTCGACTTCAATGCCTTTACTGCTTACTATGAACCCGAGTAGTTTGCTTGAGATTGCTCCGAATATGCACTTTGTTAGGTTAAGATGGAGCTTGAACTCAAGGAGTCTCTCGATCAATTTCTTCAGGGTATTGACATGACTCTGTCCAGGTCGTGACTTGGCGATCATATCATCAAAATAGACCTCGATCTCCTTATGCATCATGTCATGGAAGAGCGTTACCATCGCTCGTTGATATGTTTCCTCTGCATTTTTACGGCCGAAGGCATGACCTTGTAGTGGAATGTCCCTTGAGGGGTAGTGAACGCCGTTTTCTCCTTATCACCGTCTTTCATTTTTATCTAATTATAACCTAAGAAATCATCCATGAAGGAAAACAGCTTGAACCCAGCAGTACTGTCCACCAGAACGTCTATGTGTGGCAACAGGAAGTCATCTTTAAGGCTAGCCTTGTTCAGGTCGTGGTAATCGATGCAAACTCAAACTCGGCCATCCTTCTTCATGACTGGCACGATGTTAGCCACCTAGTTGGAGTATCGAGTGACTTCAATAAACCCTACTTTCAAGAGCTTCATGACCTCCTTCTCTATTTTCTTTGAAAGTTCAAACTTGGTTCTCCGCAGCCTCTATTTCTTAGGCGGGATGCCCGAATTAGTAGGTAGACTGTGCTTCACAATAGAAGGGTCTAACCCTAGCATATCAACGTACGACCAGACAAAGACATCCTAGTAATCCCTCAGCAGTTGAACCAAGCGTTTCGCTTCACCTTCGGGAAGGGTTGCCCCTATCTTCACTTCTTTGGGTTCCTCTTAATCACTCAGGTTAATAGTGGCAGTTTGGTCTGAAGTGAGAACTCTGGGCCTTCGTGACGCTCTAAATCGTGCTGAATATCTGAGGAGTCATCGAGTTTGTTGGTGTCATTGGGATCAAGCTCGACGGCACATAGTTTATTGGATTGGACCGTTCAAATACCCTCGTATGTCACAAGATTGCCCCTGAAACATAAAGTAGGGGATTCAGAAGGACAAACAAGGCTAAAAATGCATTTTTTCTAAATTTTTTTTGAATTTTTTTCGAAAATTGTTATTATTATTTTTTTGGTGATTTTTCGAAATTCTTTTCAAAAAGTTGTAACACGAAGAAGCATGAGGAAGCCTAGGCCATAGAATTCTCCTTGGACTATATTTTTTCTTTTATCGGTTGGATATCATCATTGGGTTGGTTTGATGTACCTCAACATGTCCTCAAAAATGAAAATAAATTTCATTGATTATCACCAAATGAATTACATTTATTGAATGAAAATTGTGACAACTCATTTCAAAAAAGGAACAAATCCTAAAAAGTAGCTCCCTAGATGGGGCAAGTCTTAAAAAGCAGTAAAATTTCCAACGCGGGGGAAAGTGCGGAAAAGTAAAGATGTTACTCTTGTGAGCCAGTACCCATTCCCTCCAGCGGTCCTTCCTCGATGGCGGCCACCCCCACTACATGATCAGGTAATGAATTGTTTTCTACATTCGGCTAAGCGGTTCGAAAGGAAATGCTTTCGCGTCCATCAGTTTCTAGACTCGCTTCTTGTCACGCCCCGAACCCCATCGAGCATGCGACACACCTCTTTGGTCGAATATCGCGATGTCCCAGAAAATCGCCGACCCAATTCAACTCATCAGAGATTTAAATCAATCAGCGAAAGCCACAAACACCCAGGCAATACTTGGCTAGGGGTACAAGGGAGAATAGACATCAATTACTTATCCAACTTTATACAATATCCACCAAATACAACCCATATCATATACATGTACACCGAACTATCAAAACTACACACCATCGATATCAAAAAGATCAGTAGCCTGGGTACCCTAATTGCCAAAAATGGAACACCTCAAAAGGCCTACACTCAACCCCTGAATACTAACCCCTGAATACTAACCCCTACGCCCCTTGGATGGCGTCCACTCTGAGTCTGACTCCTCAGGACCCGAGTCTGAATCCCCCTGAACTACCTGATCATCTGAGGACTCAGAATCTGCCTCGATCTCGATCGGATTGTCTATATCACCCGACTCCACCGGAACCTCGTCCCGCTCCTCCTCATCAAACTCCTCTTCCGGCTCGTCCTCTGGCTCATTCTCTGGCTCGTCCTCGGGTACGTCCTCTGGTTCCATCTCTGGGTCTTCTTCGGGCTCATCTTCGGGTTCCTCTTCTGGTGCCTCTTCAGGTTCTTCCTCAGGGTCTTCTTCTTCGGGTTCCTCCTCTGATATCACATCGAGATCTATATCCATAGGATCATACCTTGCCTGTGACTCCTCCGGCTCCGGATCAGGCTTAGCCACGGGAGGTTCAGGTGCTGCAGGTGCGGCCCGATGTCCAGACTGCGCTAGACTAGTCTCCAAACTAGTCATCTCACTGTCAGGAGGGGGTATGGCTGACGGATCCCAATCCCCAACTCCGTCAAATGGGACGTCAAAGCCACGGATGGGGCCAAACTTATCCAACTCGTCCCTGAACATCTAGGCAGTGTAGGTATGGGCCTGCCAAAGAGGTAGTCCTACGTCTACCCAGATTACGGTAGTATGTTACACCCACGACATATTTTCGTCTATTGGGTACTCTACGACATCATGGTCGGTGTGCATCGGAATCCCAAAACGCTGCGGCGGCGGTGGTGGAAGGTTCATGGCTTAGGCCGGGATTCTGAAATTGTTTGGTTGAAACAACCATGAGAACATGTCTCAATAAGCACACACCCTAAACCCCACCTAGGCTAACACTTACCTTCAGACTAGTCAAACACACTAACACTCAGCAATCGCATAATAAGCACACAATTTGTACTTACCTGGGCTTTTGATATGCGCAATCTGCAGGTTAGTCTCAATTATATAATTTCCAATCACATGCACATTTCAAATAAATTTCATGCCCGATACACAAGTCGAACACATGGCATTTCCAATTCCACATTCCACACACTTGTTCCTGCTTCATGACACTAATTTCACCCGACTCGCCAGTGACCCGCGTAATAGTACCACCTCAGGTTTACTGCGATCAACTCATATTCACAACACTCCTTAGCCCGCGTAATGGTACCGCCTCAGGCTATGTATCTTGCCCACGTCATGGTACCACCTCAGGCTCAACATCCACCACCTACGGCACAACCCGCGTTATGGTACCGCCTCAGGTTGGCCGTCTTCCGGTAATACTGGGCATCGTTCCGCGTTATGGTACTGCCTCAGGACGGCACAATTCCCCGCGTAATGGTACCGCCTCAGGGATTTTCGTGACCACACATACCTCATCACACACAATTTCCCATTTATTCACTCGCTCGATTTACACGCCAATATTGCCAATTTACTAGCTGATCAAATTCGGCCCATGCACACATCAAATTTCACGCATTTCACATGCTCAATAAACACCCAATCACGATCAATTGCCAGTCAATTCAATTCAGCTCATGCGTGCACATAACGGCCCACATTTCAATCAATCAACTCACGATTTAACAAACATACAAGGCCACTATCGGGCCCACAATCACAGCCACAATCATGGCATAAATTCAGCATTTTCAAGCTCATTTTAAACCATAACAAGCACCACAATCCAGCCACATTACAACACATCAAACCGACACCATTTGTCCCTAAATCGAGCCATATGCTCGTCAATGCGAGCCACAATTTCCAGCACCCAATCCAATCTCAATTCAGTCCCAAATTATCGCCATTTCACCACCAAAATCAGCCAACATCAGCCCCTAATCAGTCCACACAAAACAGCCCTTACAACCACTAATTAATCCCAAAACAGCCCCTAATTAACCCGATTCAGTCCCTAATCATGTCCATCGATACTCGATATCCTAAATAGGGTTTAGGGGGCGACTTACTTGAAATCCTAAGCTAGTACGGCTGAGGGGAAAGGGCAGCAGTCGGCAGCCACACGGCGGCGGACGGTGACGGCGAGCAGCTCGACGGATGGCGACGGCTGGCTGGACGATGGCTGGTCTTCCGCGGCTGAACAGGACATAATGAAGATGATGGTGTTTCGGTGGGGGAAACAGAACAGGGGAGAGAGAGAGAGTGAGGCCGAGAGAGGTGAGAGAGTGAGGAGAGAGAGAGAAATGGA